CTACAAGCTGTAATAAATGTTGCGCCAGACTGATCTTTCTCCACTGTCGCTCCTCTCACACCTCGCCCCTTTGTCGATCCTTGTATTCGCTTCCTGTATCCTATGGGTGTCAATTCAAAATACTAACCATTACCTATAAAGCTCTAAAATAACTCTAGCCCCTGTTACATTTCTTCACTGACTCATAGGTAGTCTCTTTCTTCGTCTCTTTGTACTGCCGGTGTCCTTCTCCTGTCCGCTGCTCGCACCCTTGTTGCAAATTAATGTTTGCAGGATTTCTTGCAGTTGGCTCCTTTCCTTTAAACAGCCTGACAATCCCCATCAGACTCTTCACTAGTCTTCAATCCTTTATGAATTCCCTCAAACCCTATCTTTTCAGAAATGCTTATGACCTCCCAGAGTAACTTCTATTTTAGAAAACTGTCTCTTGCTCTCCTTATGGGCCACACTCCACTTTAACCTTCCAGTTTTGTAACTTTTCCACCTTGCTGTTTGCTATCCCCCTTGATGCCCTTCCATTGTGTCTTTATACTCTGCCCCTTTAGACTGTAAGTTCGTATGAGCAGGATCCTCATTTACCTATTGTTCCTCTAGCACTTTGTAATTGTCACCTTTATTGTTAAATGTCCCCCTTTCATAATATTGTAAAGAGCTGTGAAATAAGTAGGCGCTATATACATAAAAATAATAATAATAATTGTTAGGCAGAAAAACATGATTGCAATTGAGAGAATGAATGTGAAATAATGGAGAATATGATGTGTAGTGTTAGTGAGAGCTCTGTGGTTTTGGATCATATCATTTTGATCTGTGAAACCAATAGAAAAGTACGGGTCAAGAAAAGTAAGCAATTTTAAATAATCTTGATATGTGAAGAACAAAATGAGCAAACTGTGTGAACTAATTTGTTCTTATCTGCAAAAATAATCTCTGTTTCTATACAAGCTGAAGCAAGATTAGCCAATTCACTAAATGCATGTATTTAAAAGGACTAAGATTTTCATATTGTGGTATTATTAAAGAAATATTCGTTTCAACGACTTTTGGTCATTTTGAATAGCTAATGGGTTAACAACGTCTAATTGTCTAAGTAATAAAATAGCATTAACTTAAAAAGAAGTTATATATTATTGTCCTGCGGTTCAGTTAAATATGAAATTTCTAGTTCTTAATTTGAAAGGGAAAAGATCTAATTACCACTGCTGTGTCCTTATTTTAATAAGAAATTGAATTTTAACTGTGTGCTTATTCTGTGCTTTTCATCTTTGGATTTCAAAGGATTTAGGATGATTTAAATCATAAAACTATTTATTAAAACCCATGTATAATTCCATCTCATGTAATTTCTGTACGAGTCACAAAAGATAATGATGTGACCAAAAATTGAACTTCAGAGTTTGAGACCCTTAACAAGAACTTATGCAGTTTGAGCCAGTGCAAAATGTTTTTTCCCAAACAATCTGTGATTAACAATGGCAGTTATAAATGGACTTTATAGTGCAGCTCTAATTGCTTATTTAATCGCTTTAAGAACATTATTGTGGTGGGCCCAGGGCCTCCATCAGAAATTTTGGGCCCCTAACACAGCTCAAGGTCTGGGCCCCCCTTCAAGCCCGCCCACAGGGCCCGCCTCCAAATCCCGCACACAGGAATACATACACACTAACAGATACAAATACTGAAACAGACATACACACATGCATAGGGAGATACTGACACACACACATATATATATACATGCAGACATACATACTGACAAACATACATACATACACATACTGCATACTGATATATATATATATATATATATATACATACAGGCATACATACATACACATACATACATACATACAGACACACACTGGTATACATACATACATACATACACGGGAAAAATACACTGGCATACATACACACATGCACGGCAAAAATACACTGGCATACATACACACACTTGTATACATACACACACACTGGTATACTTGTATACACACACACACACTGGTATACATACATACACACATACACTGGCATACATACATACATACATATACACACTGGTATACATACATACACACATACACTGGCATACATACACTGGCATATATACATACACTGGCATACATACAGACACACATTGGTATACATACATACACACAGTGGTATATATACACACACACTGGTATACATACACACATACACTGGCATACATACATACATACACTGGCATGTCACACCCTGATGGCGGCCCTGGGTGGGCCCACTGGCAAGACTGTCTTCTCCTCAGTCTTTTTAACTCTCTTTTTCTTCCTCCTCCAAAAATATTTCATCTCTTTCTGTCATTCCAGAACTGTACCTCTTTGCTGTATTCCTCTTATAGTTAAGAAACACCTTTATAATTTATTACTTTCAAAGATCTAGATAACATTCACAATAATGTTCTCTAAAAGCTTTATAGGAGAAAGTAAATAAGGTAGCTCACACATATTTAGGTGTAGGTAGTTTAATGTATGAAAATGCATGAATGGAACAATTTGCAAGCCCATTCAAGCTGAGTTGGTTAATGAAGTGGTCTGGGTGCCAGGTCCAGCTAGGGTTAACCCTTTTTTTAATAAACATAGCAGTTCCAGAGAAATTGCTATGTTTATTTTAGGGTTAATCCAGCCTCCAAATCCTCTAGTGGCTGTCTCATTGCAAGCGTCCATAGGAAAGCATTATGAATGACATTTTTGTTTAGTTTTTCTGGGTTCATTCCAATATTCCGTCCCTGGAATTCCCAGTCTCCTGGATTCATTTAAATGTTTGTTTTATGTTGCCACACCCGTTTGTTTTCCATTTTCCTTTTGTTTCAGTCTGGACCTGCAGCAGTGTTTCAAGTCTCTGCCCTTTCTTGCAGGTAAGTGCTATTGTGGTTTAGTATGGTTCTTTTAGCGAACAGGCAGTGTAGGACCTGCCGAATATGCGGTACATTGGCGTTGTGGCAGGCTTATGCAATGTATGATCATATAATGTAAAAAAATCCCCATACTTTTCATATATAGTGCTTAGTTATGTCTCCTCTTGTTTTGCCTATCATATCTTTTCTTGTTTTAGTTTGTATTCCCAGTCTATGTACAGTCCTGCCCCTGTTTAGTTAATGTTCCCTTATGTATTGTGGGTTTAGCTTCCTATCCTTATCTGGTTCTGGGTTCTACTAGTTCTGTTTTGTTTACATGTTTGGTGACTATCCTAGCCTTGCCTTGTTTCTGTACTGGATACATGTCTGCTGCTGAGCCCCCCATCCAGTTCCTGGGAGGTCTGCATATCAAGCTCCTTGTTCCTGGGATCCGCTGTAGCTGCATCAGGGTTCTGGTTTGTGGCCGCACAAACGCTAGTGCTCAACACCAGGGGGCGTGCGGTTACCCTGCACCGGGCCCTGTAATCCCCTTCCACGCTGAAGACTCCCACTTCTCATCAGGCACTCAGGGGTCTCGGTTTCCGTACTGCCACCCGTAACACAGACACACACTGACAGGCGCACATTCTCACTGAAGACACACACTGTCACTGACGGACATGGCTCTCACTGACAGAAGCACACTCACAGACACACACCAACAGACACACACTCTGACTGACAGACGCACACTGACAGACTCACTGTCTCACTGATTTCACACACACTCACGCTGATTTCACTCATACTGCCAGACACCCACTCTCAATGACAGACATACTAACCGACACACTCTCACTGATTTGACACAAACATGTACCCATTCTCTGTAGACACCACTCCATCCGGTCTGGAGACCCTCTCTCCAAATGGATTAAACATAGATTTCGATATGTACAATTATATATGACTGATTTTATAACACACACTGACAGATACACTGGTCTTATTATGATTTTTTAAGTAGCTTTTTATTTATTATGTTTATATGTAGTGTTTTCTAATTAATCCTCTATTCTCATTTTTTATCCTCTCTCCTAAATGTATTTTATATATATTGCATGTACTATCACATTGCCTGGACGTTTTTATGAATATTTTGCATGAATGGGACTACTATCACTTTAACCACATGAACGGTGAGTAACCTGCGAGAACGAAAGGTACAAAAAACGCAGATTCATATCGGGATGAAGAGACAGGTGGAACCCACATGAACGAAGAAACCTGGCGGCTGGAAAGCATAAACCCGGAAGTAACATGCCACTATCCTAGGAACATTGAAGTATACTTGTGTAAATGAGAACTTACCAGATGATTGGTTAATTGCGCTAAAGGGGCGGGTTCTAAGTACCCGTTCTCCACGCCAAAATACATTTAAATTGTTTGTATGAAGCTTGCACAAATTATGCACCTGAGGAAGACGTACTTTATCATTGAAACGCGTTGTGCTTACTCCTGAACGGCATCCCAGTAATCTTAATGAAAGATTTTATATATTATTTTATAATAAATGTTATGTTTTAATACTAACTGGTGCCTGCCTTTCCTGTGCCTCTTACATTTGAGGATCAAGCTTCAATCTGTCTTGATCCACTACAGATCGCATTTAAAGTGATACTACCCGAGTTAGCTTTTTTTATAGAACAGGCTCAATAAAATGTGAGTTGGACAATACTGAGATCTAAATATTATATTTATCATCACAGTGTTGTGCTATGAGACCTTCTTTTTCTTTTATATTGTATAGGAAAAAGCTGTACTGATATCTCCTCTCCATTGCTTGGGTATATATACTTTTTTTTTTGTTTCACTTATTTCACATTTACTCACTATATGATACACTATATGTGCTAAGTGATATACACCTATAGGTGTTTTCCTTCAATTTGTATGAGCTGCACACTTCTTTGTGTTTTGTGTACCACACCATCCACACATTTAGCACTTTGAGATACTACATGTACCCATTCTCTGTACATTGCACACAGACCTATATGTGTAGTAATAACTCATACACACTCATACCCACCGGGTACTGGGATGCACATGGTACACTCCCTCCTTAGGGACCCATGGAGAATGCTGGGAATTGTAGTTCTCTATCCTTCTGGCTGGGTCTTCCTGGGTAGGCTGGGTGCGAGCTTAATGTGCAGCGGTGTACTCCATGTCCTGGCACGCCACGCAGGCTGAATGCTGTGATTGTGGAGTGGCTGGATCTCTGTGTGGTTGCCATGCCAAATGCTTGGATCAGGGTGGCCCAAGGTTTTGCCCAGGCAGTGAGGGAGTGCTGGCCTTGAGGGGCCATGTGTTTAGCACTGCAATGGATTGGCCCACAGTGAGCCAGTTGAATAAGAAGAATCAGGAGAAGATCTTCACCCTGCAGTCCGTGAACCCCCAGGTCTGGGCAGTGGAATACGTGGTGCGGAGCCCGTAAGCTTGGAGTGGGAGAAACTGACTCCATCAGGTGATCCCTCACTACCTGCCAGATGGGAGTAGACCTGTATGGGTTCTTACTAACCCCTCATTGCCTGCTACATTGGAGGTTGCTGCTAGCACTGTATGGGGATAGCCTCTGTATACACAGACATAAAATGCATCAGTAGGGGTCGACAGGTCTGCCGGTCCCTGGAGTACTGGGCCTTGTCGTAGCTGCGACCCCTGAGACCATGTTAGTTCAACCACTGCCCATAGGTTGGAAAGCAATGGTAGGATAATCTGCATGTTTGTCAAATAACTGCTCTGCGCCAATCACCTATTCTATAGAAGCAGCACCTGGACAAATCTCCATTCCAAATGTTCTCATGAAGATAGGTAGCTTTACTTAGATTTAGGGGTTCATAAAAAATAAATCATAATTTAAGACTGTATTAGTAGAAGTGACATTTTTAGTACTGATTTTTATGGATTCATTAAAAAGGTAATTTTGAACACAAAGCTAAGGACTCCAATACTTCCACTAAGTCACAGCATGAGCATGACTGGAGTTATACTCCATATAATTTGTTGATAGTTGTCATCTTACTCTGCCATTACACCAGATGTATATTTTCACTCCCTCCAGCCACTATCTCACTGAGCATAATAGATGTTACAGATTACCAAGGACCGTCAATTGTTTCATATATCTATCTATGCTGCCACTATAATCACAAAGTCAATACTGATGGTGTGACAGCCACATTGTGAAACCGTTCAGACTGTCTTCTTTGTCTGGGGTTAGCATGCTGTGTATGCCTACTAAAGACCCACACATTGCACAAAATTGATATTGCCAGTCAGCAAGAAAGTGTACAAACTGGATGATTGACAGCCCAGTGAGGTGTCCCTACACATGGAAACCACTTCTTTAGCCTTTGCATCATAAACACTTCAATAAGTAACCCTTACGGTGATTATTTATGGGAAGGGATACGAAGCAAATTCAGTAAAACTTTAAGAATTGTTTTACCTCATATATTGGTTGATAGTTCTGAAATGGCTGGTAGAATCTAAAGTATTTTAAAACATCCACATTTCTAAAAAAATCAAAAATGAAAAGATATTAAAATGAAGAATAAAAAAACAAGTATCTGTTTAGAAACATAATACAGAAGAGTATAAAATATGAATGAACTAGCATTTATTCTACTGCAAACTAGAAAAGAATAAAAGAACAGTGTCAGTGCTCAAATATTTTACACATCTTTTAATTTCTTTCACTGCAAGGTTCAGCTAATAATGGCAGGCAACAGACCGATTAATGGGTGATTAAATTAATCATCATGTATCTGTTATTACACTATGCTCAAGTCAAGCTGTCTCTTTGTGATATCACTGAGAACACTTGCATTGATTTATGGAGTGCTAATCCATCTATCCACATTCTGTAGACAGCAGAGCTATGTAGCTAAGCAGTAAATGCATATCAATTATCTCCTCTTTGCCATTCGTGTTTTCAGAAGTGATTTCCCACCTTGTTTATAATTCTCTTTCTATTGTGTGGTATTGAACCAACAAACACACTGACATTATACATTGGATGTGTATTAAATAGATACATTACAAGAGGATTTGCTGTGTGTGATAGGCATTCCTTGAAAAAGTTTACAGACCCTGCAGTCTATTATGCTTATTCAGTAACAGAGTATCACATTCACAAGGTCCTAGGTGCCAACATTCCCTGCCCATCTCCTGAGACAGAGGTGTGCAGGGAAGAGAGCAGTTATACAGGTCCCAATAGCCAAAGTGGGTGGTGTCACCTAGAAAAGGGGTGTGGACACTTGTCAAGAGGGACATGTCCCTTCAACAAAATGGGCAGATCTGCCTGGCAAGTGGGCAGGCTCACCATTATGAGGGGTGGCCACAATGACTAGTAAAATTGCTGATGAAGTGCTGCATGGTCCTAGCATCCATTTCCTCCTGCAAACGTCAAAATGTAGGCTGTGTGACCGGTTCCCGAGACTTATATTTGTTGAGACAGTACTCCAAAATGTGGGATGGTATCAACAATTTTGCTTCCAGATTAGCTATTGTTGATTACATTTTGCCATTCAGTTTTTAGTTAACTACAATTGCAATTTACACAAATACACCCCAGAGGAGGTACATTTCTTTAAAAGGACTCTCCAAGAACCAGAACAATGTACAGGGAGTGCAGAATTATTAGGCAAATGAGTATTTTGACCACATCATCCTCTTTATGCATGTTGTCTTACTCCAAGCTGTATAGGCTCGAAAGCCTACTACCAATTAAGCATATTAGGTGATGTGCATCTCTGTAATGAGAAGGGTGTGGTCTAATGACATCAACACCCTATATCAGGTGTGCATAATTATTAGGCAACTTCCTTTCCTTTGGCAAAATGGGTCAAAAGAAGGACTTGACAGGCTCAGAAAAGTCAAAATAGTGAGATATCTTGCAGAGGGATGCAGCACTCTTAAAATTGCAAAGCTTCTGAAGCGTGATCATCGAACAATCAAGCGTTTCATTCAAAATAGTCAACAGGGTCGCAAGAAGCGTGTGGAAAAACCAAGGCGCAAAATAACTGCCCATGAACTGAGAAAAGTCAAGCGTGCAGCTGCCACGATGCCACTTGCCACCAGTTTGGCCATATTTCAGAGCTGCAACATCACTGGAGTGCCCAAAAGCACAAGGTGTGCAATACTCAGAGACATGGCCAAGGTAAGAAAGGCTGAAAGACGACCACCACTGAACAAGACACACAAGCTGAAACGTCAAGACTGGGCCAAGAAATATCTCAAGACTGATTTTTCTAAGGTTTTATGGACTGATGAAATGAGAGTGAGTCTTGATGGGCCAGATGGATGGGCCCGTGGCTGGATTGGTAAAGGGCAGAGAGCTCCAGTCCGACTCAGACGCCAGCAAGGTGGAGGTGGAGTACTGGTTTGGGCTGGTATCATCAAAGATGAGCTTGTGGGGCCTTTTCGGGTTGAGGATGGAGTCAAGCTCAACTCCCAGTCCTACTGCCAGTTCCTGGAAGACACCTTCTTCAAGCAGTGGTACAGGAAGAAGTCTGCATCCTTCAAGAAAAACATGATTTTCATGCAGGACAATGCTCCATCACACGCGTCCAAGTACTCCACAGCGTGGCTGGCAAGAAAGGGTATAAAAGAAGAAAATCTAATGACATGGCCTCCTTGTTCACCTGATCTGAACCCCATTGAGAACCTGTGATCCATCATCAAATGTGAGATTTACAAGGAGGGAAAACAGTACACCTCTCTGAACAGTGTCTGGGAGGCTGTGGTTGCTGCTGCACGCAATGTTGATGGTGAACAGATCAAAACACTGACAGAATCCATGGATGGCAGGCTTTTGAGTGTCCTTGCAAAGAAAGGTGGCTATATTGGTCACTGATTTGTTTTGTTTTGTTTTTGAATGTCAGAAATGTATATTTGTGAATGTTGAGATGTTATATTGGTTTCACTGGTAATAATAAATAATTGAAATGGGTATATATTTGTTTTTTGTTAAGTTGCCTAATAATTATGCACAGTAATAGTCACCTGCACACACAGATATCCCCCTAACATAGCTATAACTAAAAACAAACTAAAAACTACTTCCAAAAATATTCAGCTTTGATATTAATGAGTTTTTTTGGGTTCATTGAGAACATGGTTGTTGTTCAATAATAAAATTTATCCTCAAAAATACAACTTGCCTAATAATTCTGCACTCCCTGTATATATCTTGAATAGGTTAGTGAGCATGAGTTTTCCTGTCCATGTTCCTCCTTTCCTAGTTTTTATAATTCTAGAGATTTGTAAATATATTACTACAGCCTTTTACTTATATAGATCACAGGAAGAAATAGAAAAAAAAGAACAATACAAACATTAAAAAACACTATCATTACACAGTTACATAGTTACATAGCTGAAAAGAGACTTGCATCCATCAAGTTCAGCCTTCCTCACATTTGTTTTTTGCGGTTGATCCAGAAGAAGGCAAAAAAAGTTTAAAGCACTTCCAATTTTGCAACAAACTAGGAAAACGATTCCTTCTTGACCCCAGAATGACAGTCAGATTTATCATTTAATCAAAAAGCTATTACCCTACATTGAAATATTATATCCCTAAATATTCTGTTTTTGCAAGTATGCATCTAGTTGCTGTTTGAACATCTGTATGGACTCTGATAAAACCACTTCTTCGGGCAGAGAATTCCACATCCTTATTATTCTTACAGTAAAAAAAAACAAATTTTCTTTGCCTTTGACAAAATCTTCTTTTTTGCAGTCTGAACGCATAACCTCATGTCATGTAAAGTCCGGTTTGTGAATAGATTTCCACACAATGGTTTGTATTGACCCCGAATATATTTGTGTAATGTTATCATATCCCCAATCAGGCAATGTTTTTCTGAACTAAATAGGTTTAAATTTGTTAAACTTTCTTCATAGCTGATATGTTCCATTCCTTTTATTAATATTGTAGCCTGTCTCTGCACTGTTTCTAGTGCCATAATATCCTTCTTTAGAACAGGTACCCCAAATTGCACAGCATATTCATTATGGGGTCTTACCAGTGATTTATAAAGAGGCAAAATGATATTCTCGTCCCAAGAATGAATGCCCTTTTTCATGCATGACAATACCTTACTGGCCTTAGCCACTGCTGATTGACATTGCACATTGTTACATAGTTTGTTGTCTATAACAATTCCTAAGTCCTTTTCTTGTGTTGTTTTCCCTAATTCGCTTCCATTAGGGTATACGTTGCTTGTGCATTCTTTACCCCTGTCAGGATTACTAATTGGTCCAGCACGTAGAATTTTATAACATGACACTAGGCTTCATATTTGCTTAAGTCTTTCTTTACTAGAACTCCACAGCAGCACATTAACACAAAGAAAAAAACAACCAATAAGAAAAAGTTAGATACAATAAAGCTACCCTCCCAACACATAACTTTCTCTTTCTTTGCTGCACTACATCAGTACACCACTGCCTCCTGCT